CTCTGATGGAAACATGGAGGGAGGGCGTTTGGCTGGCAAGGGCCCTTGAATTGTGGTGGTTGTGGTGGTGGGGGGCCCTCGCGAACGTTTCCTTGTTAAAATGAGCGTACGGCATTAACCCAGAAACGGGGTGGCTATTTGCATATGCCCCAGCATGCCGCACTGTCGTACTGAAAATAGTCACTGTCTACTAACGTTTTTTACTCGAAATAATTCTCTTTAACATAAATGTACTGTTTTAATACACTGTTTGATGTAATGTATGTGAATAGACTAGACAATAAGTTTTAGGGCTGAACTCGTGTTTTAACAAAATGTGGTGTCAATGATACTGTCGTACTGAAAATAGCCGCAGTCTACTAATGTTTTGAACTAGAAATAATTCTCTTTAACATGAATGTGCTGTTTTTAATACAATGTTTAATACAATGTATGTGAACAGCTTAGACAATAAGTTTTAGGGCTGAATTCATGTATTTTAACATAAGGTGTCATCGAAGAGCCAAGCGCTGTCTGACCTATTTGCATATGTCCCAGCATGCCGCCTCACAAGCGAGACAGCGGAAGCAGTGCACTATGGGTAACCGATCCCCTGTATCTCGAAACTATCAGGAAAAAATTTGATACGTTTTTGAACAAACTGCTGGCATTTCTTCTAACGGTGATGACATGGGCACAGCGTGAGCTGGTGAGACAGGGTAAGCATTGGTAACATTCTCGCAACATGATTATGGCAGAGTGTACAGGCCTCGTCCCACTGTCTTGGTCGGTCGGTCGGTGCGTGGGTGGTTGCACGGACAAACATTGTTGTATTTAATTGCTGTAGAAGCTAGTGAACGGCATGTATCAACATATATCAAAAGCATTTTTAAAACTTTGGTAGAATTCTTATTTTAAGTCCTGGAGAGCTACCATCCAGCTGGTTTTCTATCCTACTTGGCTTCTGATGAGCCACACATGTTCTCAGGTAAATACCAGGAACAGGTGTGGCTCATCAGAAGTAAAGTGGGACATAAAACCTACTGGATAGTAGGTCTCCAGGACCGGAGTTGGAGACCCCTGCACTAGGTCAACCACTCCCAGAGAACTTCCGTTACTCCCACAAGAACATGGTTCCTTGATAAGATGGAGTTCACACACTTGGATGTACCGTTTACCTATTTGTTTGAACTTTTTATCAATTGTATTTGCACTATGCCTAACCTGCACAAACATCTGATTTTAATATATTTATTAGGGGTCCAAGGAGTGTTAGCTGCTGGATCCTTCGTTTTTGCACATGTTGTTCCACTCCCCTTATTGACTCATCTTATTGCACTGCTGTTTGTCCTATTTGCCTTTTCCCTATTGTCCCCCATGCAACTGTGGCACAGGAATTTCACTCTACATTTCAACTACAGACATTTCCAAAAAGCAGAAACACAGATGACTTGTCCAACTTGTAGTTGTACTTGGATTTTTATGGAAGAGAAACACAGGCATCAACAAACTGTGAAACAGCTAACGAAATGAAGCAGCAGCATTATAGATTCAAGCCTGAGCTACAATCTGCTTCTCTGGAACTGACTTGAAACCAAGCTGCAATACTGCAGAAACATCTTGGAGTAGCACAGTGGAACTTCTGGCCATAGACTGAGTATAACCTAAAATGGTTTTACAAAAGTGTATTGATGTAAATAAAATAATGTAAAACATTATCCATAATTAAATCAGGTCAGAACTATAACTGAGATGAACAGTCCACGTTATACAGAAATGGAAAAAAAAATGTTAAATTAAAAGTTCAAATACAAAATCCATGCAAGTTTTAAAAATACAGTACAAGTCCAATAGTGGAAGCTTTAGGGTATTTGAACAAGTGTTTGCCATGGGGAATGTCGAACTGGTTAGGAACTCAATGCATGGGTGAGGTGTTAGTCCTGCAGGTGGAAGGGACATTAATCCAGTGGAAAACATCAAGATATCTTCCAGGGGCACAGCAGTTATTTGTTCTGGGGGAAAAACACATAACCATGTAAGAGTTCTATCTAGTAATGTATAATTCTGCCATCAGCAAAATTTTTAAGTCATGTTAGGTTAATAAATACCAAACCTTCGCAATCCAGAAGGTAGTCTGCCCAAAAGCCCAGTGTTTTATTTTCCTTCCATCTTCTATTGCTACCTGCTGGACTAAGGTCTACTCTGAAGAGGTTTTCAAGGTTTGTTGCAGTCAGTTTCTTCTCAGTGTTGCACAAGACAGACGACAACACGATAGGGTGTTGCTGAAGTGCAGTTAAGAACCGTAATGTTGAAAGGCCATCTTTGAATCTAATGAAACAATGGATATATGCATTCACGGGTTATGAGGCCCACAAATACAATACAGTACACTGTGTTGAGATTTAAGTATTTTTTTCCCCAAAACTTACCAGTCATAGGTGTAAATATCAATATGAATTACAGTGAATTGATGACTAGCGGTTCTATGACGCACAACAGGATTACCTTTCAACAGTGGTTTCGATAGAGAATGTACCACTTAAGGTACTCTTCTACGATGGTATCCTTCTCCTCAAGTGTCTCTACATTTCGAAAACATCCAGCAGTTTGCAAAATGGTACTGTTTTGCAAAATTAGGTCTTGCAAGGATCGCAGAGAAGCTGCGTTCTGAATCTACACACAACAAACAAAACATCAGCATAGTTCAAATACAAGAACATAGGTGGAAATTAGCGGGAGAACATTTCAAACTGGATTTAAGGAAGCACTTCTTTACACAGCGTGTAGTCAGAGTATGGAATAGTCTTCCTG